CTGGCAGCTGGCTCGCCGCTGCTGCGCGGGTGACGTCACAGCGTGTTTTCGTCACGTGACGCGCCAGGCCTGTACGCGCGCGAGCGAGACAACTCGTCTCTATATTCGGGCGATTTAAATTATTCTATTAAATTTCATTTTTTGCTATAAATCCTTTACGCCCAAATTCCTTTTCTACCAATGTAGATTAACTTTGATCTCAATTCAATTCTTAGACCGGTTTCTTAGTCAATTCTTATATTTAAGACTGTCTTAAGTACAGTTTTAAGATATCATAAACCAATCGGAGAGCTACATTAGTATCTGAAGACATTATTTATGACGGTCTTAAAATAAAAACAGACTGCAAATATCGATCTTACTCTTCATCTTTTTTTCATTCTTAGAACGAGAAAAGATAAAGAGTTAGTTGAATCAAGATTCAAATTAAATTACGTTTGTAAAAACGGACAATATTTGTTTTATGATGCTCGTTAACAATAGTTAACAATTGACAAGTTACTTTACAAAAAGTAACTTGTTACCGTAAAAGTATGTTCTTTTTTTTTAAAAAGAAACCTTTCTTGTTACTGATTTGAAAAAGTTAATTGTTATCATTACCGTTACTCAAAAAGTAACGAGTCGTTATAATTTCTGTTATATTTTCACCGAAGTTTGATAAACTGTTTATAGTGGCTTTCAATTGTCTTGGTCACTAATTGACCAGTTCAACACGAAATCTACATACAGTGATTATGATAGTTGTGGTTACACATGACATAGTCAAATATCAAGATCTGAATACAGATCTTCGCATAATGCATGAAGCATAAGAGAATCAACCAATTAGAGTTATTTATTTTATGGAAAAAAAAGATTGATTGATGGTTTTTTTTATGCGTTATGTAAAGGTTTGTACTCTGACTTTAATACTTTCTTCTTTTGCAACTCGTTTATGCATGTTCCATATACACATGTTGCATGTAAATAAAAAAAGTAACGATAAAAGTAGCGATTACGTTATCATTACTCCAAAAAAATAATTGCGTTGCCAACAACGTAACAAATAAGAAAATATAACTTATTCGTTATTCACATTTGGAAAAAAGTAACGTAACGACGATATAATTCGTTACTTCCTAACTCCGGCATTAGTATTATTAAACTACTTGTTAATTTAATTTGTAATTTATTACGTACTCCAGTTCCAGTTATGGATTATGTTTCAAGACTGACAAATAGTCGGCACGCAGTTTGCTTCAACTAGAATCTTTAAGATTCACACAAAAATATTATTACGCAAGACTTGTTTTGACCGGATATATTTTTTTTTACTTATTTATATTGATCATGTTTCAGTCGATTTTCATTTATTAATGTTGATTCCTTAAATCCGATAATTATTGGCTCGATCAAAAAATCTCATATTCGTTTTTTCTTCTATCATTCTGAATCGAAAAGAAAAATATCATTAGACTTCTCTAGAATTTATACTAAAATTTATTATCAAGTATGTTTCGGAAATAATAATAATAAGCTTTATTGACGTGTGCAATACATAAATTTATAACCAAGAGAGTACAAAATTAGAGCACCTTAAAAAGTGAGACAGCAGTAATATTGCTGTTCGTGAGCCTACCCTTTATTATAATTAATTAGTTACCATAAAACGAAATCAAGTATGTAACTGATAAAATTATAATTATATGAAAAATGAAAAATTAAAAAATGATATATGTATATGATAATGAGTAGAAATTGTAATATAAAGACTGATTATATAAAATAGTATAATAAATTATATAGTTAGCAATCTCTTCAAAATCATTAATAGCAACTACATACAGTATATTGTTAATAAACCAATTAAAATCAAAATTTATTGCCGAATATTAGCATTTCGTACACATGCATGATTTATCGCAGTATGAATAATTGAAGTGTTTTGCGTTACGCGATAATTCATGTTTCACTGAAGTTTTCTCAAACATTTCACCTGCCCCAAAAATTGTGACTGTAAAACGTCTTCCGGCTTACCGCCAACCGCGTAAACACACAAATTCTCCAGCTACCAAGGGATGGCAGAAAAAGAAAACTAAAAAATAGGTTAAGAAGAGAATGAAAAAGAACAGGGAATTCCTATCAGCGAAACGGTTTCTGGCACGCCACGAGCGAACAAACAAATACAACATTTATTGTAAAAAAGAAAAAAGTATAACTTAAAACCTAGATAATTAATTACATGTAAAACTTTATGATATACATATCAGTAATGCTTAAAAATGTGTGACTTAAATTACTTGTAATAAGCATAAAACATTTAATTGATTAAATTTATTTATTTTGTCAAACGTTGATAAAAAATAATGTAAGCTTCTTATTTAAATTAAATTAAATGAATCTTGCGGACCCAACTATATAAAGTAATTTAAATCATACATTGGATCTGTAAAAATCTGTAACGTTATCAAGTCTATGAAGTAATTTAAGTTATACATTTTCCAATAACATGTTACTGACTATGCAATTTATATTAATTAAAATTTTTCAAGAAATCAAAATGACATACCAAAAGAACGAATAGTAAATATATTTTAATAATCCAAATTTGTGTGTAGAACACAAAGTAAATTTAATTGTTTGACATTTTTGAGATTTCAAACAGATTTAATTATAATTAAGTGGCTCTAATAGACGTGTCAGCTCTCCTGGAGGGTTAAAGTATAAAATACATTTATCTGAAAAACACAAGCAAGTAATATCGAAATTTATCATCGTTCCTGCCGAGGAAAACAAAAACACGTGTTTTTACGGGAAACACTTATTTCTTTAATCCACCGGAGAAAACCGGGGCTTGTACGTGGCATGTTACGTCGATGCGTGTGTATAGTGTGGATACGCGTGACACGAGTACGAGCCGTGTGCGTGTCGCGCGCACAACAGAAGAGAAGAGAAGAGAAGAGAAGAGAAGAGAAGAGAAGAGAAGAGGAGTAGAGGCAAAGGCGGGAGTTCTCCCCAGGCGCCCTTCTCTCTTCGACCCTCGGCAACATATCTTCCCTCTTGCGCCACCCGCGCGCGCGACCCCACACGCCTCGCGGTCGGTACTACGGCCCTAAGCACCCCCTCCGCCAACTCTTCTGGCCATCCCAACGGCACTCTCGTGCGATGGATAGCAGGAAAGTGAGGCGAGACGCGACGCGACGCGGTACTCTGAGGAGTAGAGGGGCAGAGGGAAGAGGAACGAGAGAAGAGTAGGGAGAAGAGAGAGAGAGAGGGGGGGGGGAGGGAGGGAGAGAGCGCGCGCTCTCTCGGTTCACGGGTTGACGGGGTTAGGTGGGGGAGCGGATCGTAGCACAGCACGGCGCGGCTTGGCGGCGGGAGGAGGTTAGCCAGACGGGTGGGAGGGAGCGCGCTTGTTCGGTGGGGGGGAGGGTGTACGGGCCGCGGGAAGGAGCCGTGCCTCCCTGCCGTCCGCCCGCAGTGCGCGCTACGCGATATCACTGACCGGTCATGTGTGTGTCACTCTCACGTTCACACTGGTACCGTTCGGAGTACTTGGTTACCGCGCTGGTGGTGTTGCCACCGTTGCCGTTACCGTCCGCTGCCGCGTAGTGCGCGGCGACGAAAAGTCGGAAAAGTGCTTCTACACACCCGGTGCGCGGTTCCCGGAAGTTGGAAAGTGTGCCCGGTCGATCTTGGTCTCGCGCGCGCGGACGTCAAAACAGTGGGAGACGGAGAGAAGACGCGAGAGAGAATCCCTTTCTTTCACTCCCTCGCGTCGTCTCCTCGCAGTCCTCGCAGTCCTCGCGGCACGTCGCACGTCGTCGACCGACACGACGCATATATCATCGTTAATTCGAAAATAAGAGCGCACAGGTGGAGAGAGACGCGCGGACTCCTTTATTGCCATAGGGACGCGCGCGCGCGCGCGCGCGCCCGCCGGGAGGGAGAGAGCAGTGGGAAAACACCGTCAAGTTAGGCGCGAACGGCGATCACGCGACGCCGGACGGAGAGAAAGAAAGAGGGAGAAGATATATAACTGTTTCAAGTTGCGCGCGAGAGAAGTCGTATCTCGTATTTACGTGAAAACGTAAATAAGTGTCTCGCGCGCGTCCAGACGTGCAAAACAGGAGCAAGGAGTGGCTGCGGATTGTGTTGGTGAGGAAGGAGAGAGGGAGAGAGACGGCAGCGAGGGAAGGATAACACGAGTGACCGGCCGTCGCCTCATGCCTCATGGTCCTGTTGTTCGATGGCCCTTCGTGATCTTCGGCGGGAAAAAATCGGCCGCGGAGTAGTGCTTTGTGTCGTCGAGGAATAGTGATCGTTTGTGACAGGGTCCACCGTCGCGTCCCCTCCCCCCATACGGTGTGCTCTTGTGGTGCGTGTGCCCGTTGTTGTTTTTCTTTTCTTTTCGGGGGCGAGGCACGCTCCTCGGAGGATAGAAGGAAAAACCAGGTCGGCGTCAGGGGGCCGGGAGAGTGAAGTGAGCGTGCGAAAGAGAGAGAGAG